ATACATGAAATCTGAATTTAAATACTTTTAATTTAATTTTAAAATTAAGTATTGCAATGAGTTTGTTAAAAATGTCCTTTAACAAAATTTAACATATTTAATGAAATAATATACAATATTATTGTTATATTACCATACCTATGAACACTAATGGGCGTGTCCCAATCCTCATAAATACATTGGGCACTATTGTAAGTCAGGGGTAATATGCTGTCTAAGTGAAGTAGATAAACCATGAGCAGTGGTTTACCGACTTCATGCCACTGGTGAGCATTGTGTTTTATTGATGTTATAAAGATTATCATTTCATTTCCAACCTCCATTTTGGTTACTCCTCATTCAGTAACCCTTTCTAGGTTACAACAATTATCAAGAAATGTTTCCACATCACTTTAAAAAAATAATTTTGAACGTTTAAAATTAGGTCTTAAGTCATAAGGCACTGAAACAGATGAAAACTTTTATTCGCAAATAAATGAACTTCGCCAATTGCTGCTCCACATATAAACTGGTCAAAAACCTTCTGAGTCATGATCACATGTGACTGCATCCGGGTTTTAAGAAGGGCTCAAGAATACTCTCCATGAGTTAAAACTTTTTAAAAGTCAGTTTAAAAAAACATTAGTGTCACATCAAAAGTTCTTTTTTTTTTACTAATTCTTCAGAACTGAATAATACAATTTTTTTATCTATTCACACAATAAAGACATCATCAATTTAGTAGAGAGTGTCTGCTGGCTTAATAAAAAGAAAGCAAGCAAAATAATTTCTGCGTTTCGGTGACTTTCTCTCTGTGACCCCCTACTTTATTATTCTGTCTCTGTTTTTTATGCATCCAGCTTGAGGGTAATAATTAAACTGGGAAGGCTAAAGCCGCAGTCTTTTCTTACACAAGCAAAAGAATTTCTGCTTTTCGGTGACTCTCTCTTTCACCTGCTCACTATTATGTTCTGTCTCATGGTCCTTACTAAAAAGTCTAGTAAATTCATTGCTTTTACTTGCAGCTTTTCTCACTAAACAAAAAAATGTTTCCTCTACTTACATTTCCTAAATAATATCACTTTTAACAATTGTCCTAAGAAATGGGAAATGCAAAAAGATACATATACAAAGAGGATACCGAATATTATTAGTAATTAATTTTATATTACACAAAATTATTTATCCTGGAAAAAATGTAATACATGGACCCTTCACTCCTGAGTTCTATGGAGAGGTTAGAAGCAGCAAAAGCCACAGTAGATGCTGCAATCTTTGTGAAAGATAAGTTAACATTTAATCTTATCTATAACTCTTAACACTCTTTCATTTGATATCATGAAGACTGCTTGCATTTACTATGAACGGTCAGTCTAGCAATTGTCGCAATTTTTACTTTCATCTCTGTACTTTGCTTTAAGTCTTGTTATATTTGATTAATAAATGTTATTTTTGTAAGGTTTAGTTTGCTTTATGACATATCAACCTCAATGGGTTATTTGATGCTGACAAAATTTTTATTGTTGGTAATATATTTTTTCAAAAATCTATTTCTTGTAATATCATTTTCCTTAAAAAAAAAAATCTATTTCTGATAATATTTTTTTCTTCAAATATGTATCACTGGTAATATTTTTTTTTTTCAAAAAATGTATAGCTGGTAATATTTTTTTATTTTTCAAAAATGTATTACTGGTAATAATTGTTTTAGAAAGTATTTTTGGTATCAAAACTTATTTTTACACTTTCATAGTGTTTTGACCTCAGTTTGGGGGTTAACTATTTACCCATAGCTGGGACCCTAACAGGTGCTACCACCCTGGGTCAGGATGGACCTGGGAACATCAGCAATTAAGAGGTGATTCCATGCTCATCAAAACCTTCTGATCAGAGTCCTTGCTGTTGGACGTAGTTTATCATCTTACCCAGGATGTGGATGTAGTTTATCATCATACCAAGGACGGCCATTTGTAGAAGAGACTTTGTAAACCAGATACAATAATAGTAACACATTTGAATTTGGTTAAATGCCGCTAATTCCCATATGTATATTTTTCCTTTACCAGGCACGTTTTCTAATTATTTCAAGATGAGGTCGACTGTGCGTGCTCTCTGGCAATCCGTGTTCAAACCCAAATGTTGGCAGTCACACTTTATTCCTATATGACAGTTACCCATAATACTTCAGGTCATTTAGACAATGAATAAAGATTGTTATGATAACTTGATAAGTAATAATTCTGGGGCTCCAGATTATAACTGTCAATGGATTTGTGGTGAAACGTTTCTCGTGTCTGTGTTGTGGGTAGGCCAGGGGAATAAGGTATTTTTTTTCATTTTTTGCAAGCAGCTAAAAAGAAGCAAATTTTATTTTATGATTTATTTTCAACTGAAAATTTTAAATTTATTTTGAAATGAAAACTTTGTAATTGTATTAGGGAAGATATTTTTTTTTTTTTTTACTGATTCCCCGTTCGTTTGCTGTACATTTTTTTTTTTTTTTTAAGATTTGCCAACTATCTTTTATTTTTAATTCTTACTTTAGTCTTTCTTTTTAAAAATTGTGTTATTTAATTTTTTTTTTTTTTTTTTTTTTAATTATTCATACTTTTCCAGTTTTTTCTGTTCTGCATGTCTATCATTTTTTTTTTTTTTTAATTTCATTTTTGTTTTCTGATATTTTTGCTGACTATGACTTTTAAAATATTGATTTTTTTTTTTTTTTAATATTTTCCCGATTTCAACATGTGCTTGCAGATTGGATATGAGACAGATCAAGTGACAATAAGTCTACACAACATTGATTTTTCTTTTATTATATTCTAAATATTTCTTCCTATACTGAATAGAATACTTCCTTCTTAATATATGACATTGGCTGATGTCATTTAAAGAATCGACTTGAATGTATCACTGTCAAGTTACATTTACTTACTATTTCTTGGGATAATAATGGATTATTAATGCTACCACACGAGCCTTCATCTGTTAGATATCTGTCTGTATTTCTGAGATGAGGTATTATGTGCACTATTTACATTATTCGGACTATTGTCCTCATCTTTGTTGCCATATTTATCACAACGTTTAGGCCTTCCAGTATCTGTCTATATTTCTGAGATGTGGTATTATGTATGCTATTTACATTATTTGGACTATTGTCCTCATCTTTGTCGCCATATTTATTACAACGTTTCGGCCGTTGTATGCTCCAGTCTTCTTCAGGTGGTTGGAATGTCAAACTGAATCCTTTATTTCGCTCACTGGGGTAGACTGTTCTAGTTCCATGTGCCATATCTAATGAATGATTATACATACTTTTTATAGATAAAAAAGATAAAAATGTCTTAAAATAATTGTCAGGCTTTTGCCATTTCATAATGTGTGACATCATTTGTTTACATTTGGATACGCATTGAGCAGATATGAATGTACATGATGAAATCATGGAAAATTGTAGTTTAAAAACATTAAAATCGACCTTGCTAACTGAAATACTCCTCTGTGGCTCAATCAGTAAAAGCATGTCAGGCTATATGATGGTTAGATATAGGATACAGGTTCAATACCTGTCGGAGGATGCGTATTTTCTATGACACTTTCTTGGACATTCAGGTCGGTAAATGTTGTTAATACTGTTTATTATAAACAGAGTATTTACTTAAATATTTGTATCTATACAAACGAATGTATAAACAGAAAAATGTCTTAAAATAATTGTTGGACTTTGTCCATTTCATAATATATATAATTATTTATTTAAAAATATGATTCCAACATGCTACATAAGAGTTCTCATGTTTCAAAACGTCAATATAATTATTTGAATTAAATTGAATTAAAGTACTAAGCTCTGTTCCATATTCAAGCGAAATTTTTTTTTTTTTTTTTTTTTTTTGAATCTATATTTATGCTCTACTTTTGTATCGAGCACTATTTTTTAAAAATAATAACAAAAATACTAATGAACTTTGGATTATTTACCTAACGAGTTCTTTACTATTTTCTATATAATTTTCACACACACACACACACACACACACACATATATATATATATATATATATATATATATATATTACAGATTTTTAAATGGGAGAGAGATTCATACCTTTCCAAGTGTATCCTTAAAATTTTTTTTAACAGTGGTGTTCACCTTATACAAGGCCCGAGAGGCACTCGAGGTAGATGGTTACAGATAATATCAGATGTCTAGCCACACTGATGATCTGTGATACAGCAAAAAATCTGTCTGTGGATGACTATATATATATATATATATATATATATATACACACACAGGTAAAAATCTGTGTTAATCCAAGTGAATACTAGTAATATAAAATATATTATATTTATTATAGAGCATATGTGAATTACAAATTGATCAAATTCAATATCCCATATCATACATGGACATTTTGCCTGCAAAAGGCTTGTCAACACCAAGAATTTAGATAAAAGAAAAATGAATCATAATTTTTTTTTATCTAATTCCTTGGTGTTGACAACCCATTCTGGGCGATATCGGGTATTGAATTTTATGTATTTATCCGCTTTGGTTGCAATTTGAACATTGTATTAGAATCTCCATTTCATTGCTGATAAATCCTACGCCATCTGTACATCCCATATATGTAGAGATGAAGGTATATCTTCATGTTGTTTCACTAACCCTATATTATCAAACAAATACACTCCCCCCTCCCAGACGTGATTATTCATAATATATAAATGTATGAGACAAGAATTTTGGCAGAATATTTTTCTGTTGCATTTTATGAATTATGCATTCTATTCTTTCTGTTTCCTTCTCTTATCTTTTTAATTCCAGTCATTGCATTTTTGTTTCTTATTTTTTTTCTTCTTCTTTTAAATTCTTTGGAACTTTAACGAATGTTGGAAAATTCTGCCTTTAATTTTACAGAAATAAATTTAAGTAGAAATTGAAACAATAATCCCTAATGAAATTGAAATGCAGGATTTGATTTTTTGCTTACTTTTTTTTTTTACTTTATTGTATGTCTTTTTTTTACCTTTTTTCTTTTCCTCTTCTTCTTTTACTTTTTTCTTTTTCTTCTTTTTTTCTTTTCTTGTTTTTCCTTTTTCTTCTTTTTCCTTTTTCTTCTTTTACCTTTCCTTTTTCCTCTTTTACCTTTTCTTTTTCCTTTTTCTTCTTTTACCTTTCCTTTTTCTTCTTTTACCTTTCCTTTTTCTTCTTTTACCTTTCGTTTTTCTTCTTTTACCTTTCCTTTTTCTTCTTTTGCCTTTCCTTTTTTCTTTTTCCTTTTCTTCTTTTTTCTTTTCTTTTCCTTTTTTTTCTTTTTTTTTTTTTCTTTTTCTTTTCCTTTTTTTTTTTTTCTTTTTTTTTTCCTTTTTCTTTTTTCTTTTTCTTTTCTTTTTTTTTCTTTTCCTTTTCTTTTCTTTTCCTTTTTCTTTTTTTTTTTCTTTTTTTTCTTTTTTTCTTTTTCTTTTCCTTTCAGGTTTTCCTTTTTCCCTTTTTTTCCTTTCCTTTTCTTTTTTCTTTTTCTTTTCTTTTTTTTTTTTCTTTTTCCATTTACTTTTCTTTCCATTTACTTTTCTTTCCATTTACTTTTCTTTCCATTTACTTTTACTTTTCCTTTTCTTTCCTTTTTCTTTTCCTTCCTTTTTCTTTTCTTTCTTTTCCCTTTTTCTCCTTTCTTTTACCATTTTCTTTTCTTCTTTCTTTTCTTCTTTCTTTTCTTTTTCTTTCTTTTTCTTCTTTCTTTTCTTCTTTCTTTTCTTTTTTCTTTTTCATTTACCTCTTACTTCTTTTACCTTTTTCTTCCTTTACCTTTTACTTCTTTTTCTTCTTCTTCCTTTTTATTTTTAATTTTCATTTTCTTTCTCCATTTATTTTCCTCCTTTTTGCTTTTTATTTCCTTTTCTTCTTCTTCTTCCTCCTCCTCCTTCGACATCAATTCAACGAAATATCTAAATTTACTTAGTGATTAATCTGGAAATCTTCAAAGGATTAAAAAGAAATTATTGGAAAGAATTAATGCCAAAAAATAAAAGACCCATAAAATCATTGGATAAATTTATTGTCACAGATGTTCTGCTCTTGGGTGTGAAGTCATCAAAATTTCTCTTTGTTTTTCCTTTTTTTTTTTTTTTTGGTGTTTCTTTTAATTAGAAAACAAAAAGAAGATGACATTTAACCTTAGTTCCTCATCGAGATATGCATCTCTTTCATATCTACCTGCATATATACATTTTCTGATGACATCAAATAAGAATTCAAGTGCTATTAAACAAAAAACATTTTTATATTACTGCTGTGTAAATATGGTTTTATTTTCATTATCCAAATTTTTATCAGTAATTTCTTAGACAAAGCCGGGAAAAGCCACCTTGGGTCTTGAATTCAGAGTTACCTGTTCCATAGACTGTTTATCAATTGAGGTGAGAGATCTGCCCGGTTTACTTCAGTATTAAAATATTGCAAAAAATTTACTATATAAAAATACCATTAGAATTTCATAAATTGAAATACCAATAAAATTTATTGCATTAAAATACTGCCCAAAATTTACTATATAAAAATACCATTAGAATTTCATAAATTGAAATACCAATAAAATTTATTGCATTAAAATACTGCCCAAAATTTACTATATAAAAATACCATTAGAATTTCATAAATTGAAATACCAATAAAATTTATTGCATTAAAAATACTGCATTCAAAAATTTACTATATAAAAATACCATTAGAATTTCATAAATTGAAATACCAATAAAATTTATTGCATTAAAAATACTTTTCAAAATTTACTATATAAAAATACCATTAGAATTTCATAAATTGAAATACCAATAAAATTTATTGCATTAAAAACTGCCCAAAATTTACTATTAAAAATACCATTAGAATTTCAAATTGAAATACCAATAAAATTTATTGCATTAAAATACTGCCCAAAATTTACTATATAAAAATACCATTAGAATTTCATAAATTGAAATACCAATAAAATTTATTGCATTAAAATACTGCCCAAAATTTACTATATAAAAATACCATTAGAATTTCATAAATTGAAATACCACTTAAAATTTATTGCATTAAAATACCACAAAATATTTACTACATAAAAATAAGAATAGAATTTTTGAAGGGTTGAATTTGAGAGACCTGGTGCACCTTTTTCACAAGGTCCCCCAAACAACCCTATGCAGGGTTTGAATTCAGAGTTGTCCTTCTCCTAGACCAGTTGCCATCCAAGGCTATAGAAACCAATCTGTCCTGGTATTTACCCATAGCTGGAGGGAGAAGAAGAGGATTCACACCTTTCCCAAGGGTATTAGCACGTAAGTGAATGTAATGGATTCAACTGGAATTCAAACTCGGCTCTCCGATTCTTCAATCCAAGCTATCCATTATATCCATTATATATATATATATATATATATATATATATATATATATATATATATATATAATAAATAAAAAAAAAAAAAAGACATTTTATGTTTATACATTCTTTTCATAGATACAAATATTTAAGTAAATGCTCTGATTATAATAAACAGTATTAACGACATTTACCGGCCTAAATGTCCGAGAAATTGTCATAGACAATATTCGTCCTCCGACTTACATTTTACTTAAATATTTGTATCTATAAATAGAATGTATAAAAAAAAAAAAAATGTCTTAAAATAATTGTCGAACTTTTGTCCATTTCATATATATATATATATATATATATATATATATATATATATTATAGCAGTTATTTATTTTTTTATCTTGGAATACTGAAAATGTAAATTTCTGCTAATTGTTTTTTTCACTTTATGCAATTTCTACTTACAAAAGATATATTGGAACCATTCTTAGTTTTTTATATATATATATATATATATATATATATATATATATATATATATAAAATGCTCAAGCACTAATATTCCATGGTTATAATTTATTACATTGGAATCGCAATCATGATCCAATTCATCAGATCTACAACTGTCCTGGACATGGATTCTATTCTCTTGGCAATTATATATATATATATATATATATATATATATATATATATATATATATATATATTATTTATTTTAAAAAAATTTATAACATAAATATTTTATAAAATTTTTAAAATAGCCATTGATTTTTCAACAAAATGATATTGTCTTATCATCCTTGATAAGACATCGGGGTTTGATAAACAAAATATATAAATATTTTTGTAGTGATTTTATAACATATTTATGTTATAAATTTTTTTTTTAAATAAATAATTATATCTGCTCTACTTTGTATTGAGCACTTTTTTTTTAAGAATAGTAATTGTTGGTTATTGGAATTCATTCCGTATACACCTATAATATATAATATACATATATACATACATACATATATATATATATATATATATATATATATATATATATATATATATATATATATATAGAGAGAGAGATAATATTAGTGGTAAATATACATACATATGCAAAATATATAAATACCCATACATGTATATTTTTTTAATAAAAATTTCCAAGAGGAAGAATCCAGGTAGAACTCAATGTCCAGGACAGAGTAAGGATATAATAAAAAGGCTTAAACTCTAATATTCCATGGTCATAATTTTTATGTATATATATATATACATGTGAAATGTGTATATAAATATAAATAAATATATATATGTATAATTATTTATATATTATATGCGCGGTACTTATTAGAAAGTGCTCAATATCAGAGATAGAGCTAACAACCTCACATCTATCCAACCAAAAATATATATATATATATATATATATATATAAAATTACAGAAGATCTTGTAGGAGCATTCTTACTTTTGGATAGTGGATTGCATGGAGAAAAAAGTGAAAGTGTAGTCTATTTTCATTTGTTCACATTGATTTGGTGGTGGGAGAGAGGACGATAACTCGTGTAGAGGAATAAAAACTCGAAAAGGTAGATGAAATTGAAGCTGGTAATTAAAAAGAAAAAGAAAGTTCTGGAAATTTTTTTTTCTTCCTGCCCTTGCTGTCCCCCTCCCCATTCTGCTTGAATGAAGAGTTGAGGTTGGTGCCTTGCACTTCCTCTAACAGAGGGTTCGTTCTGCCAATCGTTCATCACAGAATTATCTCAACTTAATACCCAGCATGACACTAACGAAGCAATTTGTTTAATTAACTAATAGCATTGAGTCATTAATGAGCCTTTGTATACTGATGCACAGCTGCGGATGTAAGTTTTTGTCTCGTAGACAGGCGTTAAGTACCTTTGTCTTTTCGGGTTTGTGCAGTAGTAGGGGAACTTTAGGAAAATAAAAAGCCTGTAAAAAAAAAAAAAATAAATCAGGAAAAATCGTTTCGAGACTTTTTTTTTTTCTTCCCCTTCCTTGATTAAGTGTTTCAAAACTACTAAACACGACCTACTTCTTGACTTTGTGTCTGTTTAAATGTCACTAACTTAGTCGTTTCATGAAAGAGAAAATTTAAAACCTGAATCTGAAGTGCCTAATTTTGATTAGTATTTTTTTGAATAATTGTAATTTTATTTTGTCTATGTTTCTGAGGAGGTATTAACACTATTTACATTGTTTGGACTGTCGTCATCATCTTCATTGCCATATTCACAACGTTTCGGTCGTTGTACGTTCAGGCCTTCATCAGGTGATATTTCTCAGAATTTCAAACTGGACTTTTAAATATAGTCCATGGTGGTAGATTGTTCTAATTCAACATGCCATGCCTCTGGATATTTTCAGTTTTAATTAATTCTACTTAAATTTTAAGCCTAGGGGATAAAACGTTTGGTTGATTGATCCAGAAATGACTTCACACAAGGAGTTGTGAGTTCAATCCTTACTTCATATTATAATAATAATAAAATTTAATATCATATTACTACTATGTTCTGGGTCATGTGGATAAAAGCATTGGTTCATTAATCCAGAAGAGTTGTGAGTTATCTGGGGAAATTAACTGAATTTTAATTTTTTAATTTTTATTTAATAATTTAATTTTTAATTTATTATATTTTTATTTTTTTTATTTTATTCAATAATTTAATTTTGATTATTTTATTTTTAATTTTAGATTTTTATTTATTAATTTAATCTTAATATCTTTATTCTGTAAATTCATATTTTTAAAATTTCTTTAATAATTAATTTGTTTATGTTTTGAAAATTTATATATTTCTGAATTTTCTTTTAATAATTTTAATTTCTTAATTTTTGTTGATATTTTTAATATTTTTAAATTTTTATTTAATAATTAATTTTAATTCTTTCCTATGTAAGTTTGCATTTCTCATATTTAAATTTCTTTAAATAATTTATTTCTTTATATTTTTTTAAAATTCAATTTTAATTTTTTGAAATTTTTTATTAATTCAGAATTTTTAAATATATAAAATTTTATTTAATAATCCAATTTTAATTTCTTTTTATTTTTTAAATTTTTATTTTTAAATTTTTATTTAATTTTAATATTTTTATTATTTCTGACATAAATTTGGTCAGTTATTTTCACAAAGTATATAATTGTAGAAACTCTAAAATATTTCTTAATTCATCCTTAGCTTATTTTTACATGTTAGACAGACATAGATGGTGAGATTGTTTTCGATTGATTTGTTTTTTTATGGTTTATCAACACTTTATAGGTTGTTTAAAGCCAGAATATTTTTAGATCCTAAGAAATTTTTTTTTTTTTAATCATAATTTAGTGATACAAGTTTTACTAATTAACCCACAACTGGGGAGAGAAGAGGTGGAAAAAAGGAAAGGAAGTTGTGGCGAGCCATGACTGTCTCTTTCTTGAAGTAACAGGGCATTTACAAATTCGCAGATGGTAAAGGACGCTGTGGATAGTTATACTTGTCTCTTTCTTGGAAGGATATGTAATTTAAAAAATGAAATATTTTCAGATTAAATTTGCCTCATGCTATCTCATGATAAGCTTTTTCC